CATAAGCAGCTCCCGTTTTTGGAGGACCACGATCACTCCATCTCCTTTGCTGAACTACGTCCAGCCGTTTCTGCCGTTTCTGTAGCTGACTCACGCCGACTGGTTGTTCACTTGCATGGCCCTACTATCAGCTGCTCTTTTGTAGTGCTGCATGCACCTTGTCGAAGCCAGCACAACAGCATTGCAGAGGTTGAAGAGTGGTGGGCCAGCACGACTGCCTTGTTACTTGATGCTGAGCTTGCGCCCATGTCTTGGATTTTCATTGACGCCAACGCGCCGCTCGCCTCATACGCTGGAGATCACTTTGGTGATCATGGTTGTGAACGAACCAACGGCCAATGACTTTTTTTGAGAAGTTCATCACGGATGGCAACTGGTACGCCCCAACCACTATGGCGTGGTGTCATTATGCTCCTCATGCTACATGGACGCATCCACGCGACCATCGTCTACGATGTGATTACGTGCTTTGTTCCAGCCAAGCCCTACAAAATGGTGCTCGGCTTCCTGGACGGACCAGGCTCATGATGCTGGGTTTGGAACGATGATCACGTTCCAGTTTGTCTTCACAGCATGATGGGCGGTGGCGAGATGTGGCGAGTACCACAGTCCTCCCACAAGTATCAATGGGATCGATGTGCGTTCCTTCACCCAAGGAGATGCCGTGAGTTCCAGCAGGTGTTGGCCACATTGCCCATCCCTAGCTGGAATGTTCACGTCAACAACCATGCAAAACAATTTCAACAAGATATCATGCAATTGGCCAGACAACACTTTGCCAAGACAACCAGGGAGCGACCTCGCCCACGGCTATCAGAGCCCACGCTGGCCTTGATCCAGCTCAAACGATCGGTGCTGGATGGCGCGCACAAGATTGCCTTCACGAACCCGACATCAGGCTGAGCTCAAAGCTTTGGAAAAATTGGTCCGTATTAAGGTACAAGAGGACCAAAGTCGCTTCTACGACGAATTTGTTGGCCAATTGGCCCAAGATGGTGCTTTGCATGACTTTCGCTTTGTCTATCAGCTGCTGAGTCGTTTGGGAGGCAGACCTCGCCACAAGACGGGTGCTGGTCGACTTTTACCCTTGTTGAAAGACTCTGATGGGAAACCCGTTACCTCGTTCTTACAGCAACAGCGCCTTTGGCTTCGTCAATTTGCTGCGATTGAAGGTGGGCCGTGATGCCTTACAGAAGCTCATGCCGGCTTCTCTTGGTTTGCCTGAGGAGCACATCGAAAGAGCCGCAGTGCCCACTTGTGATCAACTGGCTGCCAAGGTCCGAAAGATGAAGCGAGGCAAAGCTCCGGGCCCTGATGGGCTCCCTGCTGAAATCTTCAAGGCTGGAGCCCAGCCTATGCTCCAGCACATCGCAGCTTTGACCACCGAAACAGCTCTCCATGTACGGGAGCCTGACTGTTGGCGGGGAGGGCGACTATAATACCACTTCACAAAGGAAAATCAGCCAGATCTGATCCGACTGGCTACCGCTCGATCTTTGTTAGCAACTTCGTGACCAAGCTCTATCATTCAGTCCTGCGGGATCATTTGGTGGAAGTCTGGCAGCAAGCGATCCAGCACATGCAATTTGGTGGACGACGCGTGTGGTTGCAGCTCGGACACTCCGCATCTATTGTTGCAGCAGCACTGCGGGTTTGCCCACACCAGAAAGAGGCCCTCAGCAGCACTGTTTGTGGACTTCAAATCAGCCTTTTATATGGTGATTCGTCAAGGCCTCTTCTCCGATCACCTGGATGACACCACCTTCATGATCGCCATGCACAGACTTGGCGTCGCTCCTGCAGACCTACAGCGCTTACTGGCCAGGGCGGGTGAGGACGTTGCAACACAGGGCCTCTCCAAGCATGTGACCGCGCTCTTGACTGATCTCTTTAAGGGCACCTACTTCGAGCTTGATTGTTTGAACCAGGTTGCTCTTACTTCTCGAGGAACTCGCTCAGTGACCCAGTGGGAGATATCCTTTTTATTCCTTTTTAATTTGGTCATGAGTCATGGTCAATTATGCAGGACCTCACCACGTTCATTGGCTCTAATTCTTCGGCTGTGTGGCTTGGACATGGGGCTCCTACTGCCGACCTTCAGCGTATTGATCCTGTCGCAGACCACGCCTTTTGTGAGTTGGCCTTTGTCGATGACCTGGCGGTGTTGGTGCGAGCACCCAGCATAGATGCCATGTTCGTGCTGGCTGAGACTGCTCTTCAAGCTGTCCATGCCGCTGCAGAACACCGTGGCCTTTCTCTTGAAATGCAGGCTGGGAAAGCTGAGCTCCTTTGCGCCATTGTGGGCTTTGGTGCGCGCAAAGCGAAGCTTCACCTCGCCGACCAGAAGGACCTCAAGCAGGGTATGCTAGATGGCAAACCTCATTTTCTTCGTGTTGTTCACACCTACCGCCATTTGGGAGGTTGGGTTCATGCTGATGCACAACCACGACATGCAGTGCGTGACCGCATTACAGCTGCCAAACAATCATGGGGGCCCTTGGTCAGACCCTTCTTTCGAAAGAAAGCAGTGACACTTGCCACAATTCCAGGTTTTGTAGTCTCACGACTGACCTACAAAATGCACGTGCTCACCAAGCTCTCTCCTCGTGTCCTTCATGAATGCGAAGCTAGCATGCGTGTAATGGTGGCTCCTTTAGCGAGGCCCTTCCTTGGTGGTTTAGCTCCCTTCCAGTTCTCCACTGCGACTGTGCGGCATCATCGGCACCCTGGCGCCAACGGACCAGTTGCACCTCAACCGCCTACGCTTTGCCAAGAGGCTTGTGCATAATTGTCCATCGGTGCTGTGGAACTTGCTTCATGATCTTTGTGACGCCCCAGGCTCTTGGATGAGCTCCTTGCGCACATCCCTGGCTTGGCTGTCCCAATTCTATGGCCCCTCCAAGTTGCCTTCTCCGGATGCACCGTTGGAAGATTGGTGGTAGTTAATTGCACTGGCAGACCGATGGCAGGGGGTTCCTCGAGCGTGCAAAAGCAGCCTGCTTGTCTTATCAGCGTGCGGTAGCGCAGAATCTGGTATGGGAGAAAGGTATTGAAACCCAACTTCAGCAAGATGATGCGCCTGCCGAACTGGATCCGAACCAACCGCCTGTTGAGCCATGGGCGTGCGAGAAATATAGCATGGTCTTTGCCTCTAAGAAAGCGCTTGCTTTGCATGCGACCAAAGCGCATGGATATCGCGCTTTGGTTTAACATTACGCCACGTATACCCTTGCTGCTGTCGCATTTTTCACCAACGCAGGACATCGTGACTCCCCGGTAGGCGTGGAAAATGACTCTGGGATGACAAGGCCTACGGATGAAGAGGCGCTTTGCTTTGTCCTGCAAACTGGCTACATCCGGGGCAAGAGCGGCTGCTATGCTATGGGTGGATTGGCACGGATTCATGCGCTCTTCCATATTCGGACGCTTTGCGGTTACCGGCGTTGTGGAGACCGTCAGGCCAGCATTGAGAATCACTGGGTGCAAGAGACCACGCAAGTCTTCTGTCTCTCAGTTGAATATACTGCAACCAGAACGAAGAGGGGGACCTTACGGCCAAGGTCAATCAGCAGTGGTGGGTTGACCGCCTTTGCAGCGGTGCCATCTGCGGGTGGGGGGGGGCCCGCCCAGTGAAACGGCGCGCCTTTTACCTAACGGCCCCCCCCAGATCTTACGACCACCTTCCAAGAGGGGTTGGAATCAGACCCAGGTCGGTAGTGCCCTGATGCAGTTCATCCTCTATACATGGTGATGGTGGTAACCCGATTGGGGGGATGCGCGCTCGTCGAGCATCCAGCCTTTCCAGTCTAGATGCATGAGGCCATCGTCCATTTGGGCGTCAAAGGTGGTGCGTCTACTACGGCGCCTGGCTTGCACGCAGGTGATGACCTCCGACCAGTGCGTGTACAAGTGCGTGGCCCGCAAGCCTACTACCCTGCTGCTGGTCCGCTTACCTACTATGGTTCGCAACACGATGCATGTGCTTGGGCTCCTTCGGGCGCTGCAATCAGGGATGGCATAGGGCTCTTGCAGGCCGTGGCGCGCAAGGAGGATTCAACACGTCCATTGCGAAGGTACGTCCCCAGGAGCTCAACGAAGCCCTGTGCCTCTAGTGCAGCCAATTACGCACTTGATTGCGAGTGCGTAGGGCAACGGGTGGAACCCTTGCCTGAAGATTTTTTACCGATGATGTCCTATGACTTCGTGGACCGCACAACCGTACAGCCAGATCACTATATGTGCAGGTAACGGCTTAGTTGGACTCCGGTTTTGCATGCTCCAAGCACTCAGTATCGGGAAAGGAAAGGAAAAGAAAAAGGATAGCACTTGGGGGCAGAGTTGGGGCGATCTACTTTGGGCTGAAAGTACTCTGTCGGAGGCCGTCAGAGGATGTTAGAACCCGGCATTGACAAAGCATTTGAGCAACCAAATGCTCAGTAGAACAAAATCAAGCTATATAGTTGCGGGATCTTGCGGGTATTTACAACTGCGAAACATTTTGTTTAATATTTTGCAATGCTCTTATACGGGTTCCCAGATTTCCCAGGTATCATTAAGATTTTACTACATACTTGGTAACGCAACGAAACGAACTTACTGCTAGGGTGAGATGTGCCGCTCGGGACTCGGGATTCCCATTATCTTAGTCATAAGATTCCATATCGTGCGAAAAATCACAGCTTTTGTTTTCGATCTCGAATCAACAGTCACCGGATGCATCGTGAGATCGTGCAGCAGACGGTCAGTGCTCATAAAGAGCAACCCTCAAGTCATTTCAAGTCTGTCCATCAAGATCTTGAAAGCTGGAAGCACCTTTCTTCCTCTCCATAGTCTCATGTGCATGAACTAAGGCATCGTCGGTTCACATTCATCATCATCATCATCATCACCATCATCATCATCGTCATCATCATCATCATCATCACCATCATCATCATGATGGCATCACCGGCATGGAAAAGACGCAAACCTCGTGAATCTCATAGTTTCTCTGCCGTCAGGATAGCATACACGTTGAAGGAGGTGATGTGGGCAGGAGTTTTTCTCCTGCTTATCATGTATGTCTTCAGCCTGGCACTGACGCAAGGCGGGACAAGGCTGCGCCTTCCAGGGCGTCTTGTTGATCAGTTCCGGTGTTGGCTGGTATTGTGAACTATCCATGGAAGGAAGACTGGGACATTTTTGGTTGGTGGTTTCATGCCTTTTGTTTTCCATACTTCGCAACTCAGGCATTGGATGATGGTGAAAGATGGTGAAAAAACTATGAAACACTTGGTTTTTTCACGCCTTTCGGATGTGCTCCTTCTCTCCTTCACAGGCGTGGTTGGCCATTTGGCCTCATCCAATGCCAACGATGTGAATCCAGCGGTGCCTTGAGCCATTTTTGACCGGCAGTGGATGGAAAATATATTTCGATACCCCCAAAGTCATAGAACGAGGATTGGGAAAGACAAAGAAACATCGAACATCTACAGGGGCTAGATGTGAAAAACTGAAGGTCGTTCCTTTTTTTGATGAGAGGCCAGCGCCCTCAGCGCCACCAAACACGGTAAAGACGCGGAATTTCGACACAGTGCAAAAACAAACCATATTTCTTTTAAACGTGTGAATTTAGAGAGCTAGAAGGGGATTGCAACTCATAAATCAAAAAAATACTTTACTTCGTGTGATCCCCACCATGACATTTATACATTTTGTTATTGGCAAATCTTCTGGCATTCTATCTGACATTTTATCTGGCATTCTATCTGGCATACCTTCTGGCATTCTATCTGGCATATCTTCTGGCATATGTTCTGGCATATCTTCCGGCATTCTATCTGGCATTCTATCTGGTATATCTTCTGGCATATTATCTGGCAAATCTTCTGGCATTCTATCTGGCACTTTATCTGGCATACCTTCTGGCATTCTATCTGGCATATCTTCTGGCATTCTACCTGGCATATCTTCTGGCATATGTTGTGGCATATCTTCCGGTCATTCTATCTGGCATTCTATCTGGCATATCTTCTGGCATATTATCTGGCAAATATTCTGGCATTCTATCTGGCAAACATTCTGGCACTTTATCTGGCATACCTTCTGGCATTCTATCTGGCATTCTATCTGGCATACTTTCTGGCATTCTACCTGGCATATCTTCTGGCATATGTTCTGGCATATCTTCCGGTCATTCTATCTGGCATTCTATCTGGCATATCTTCTGGCATTCTATCTAACCGTTGAGGTCCAGCGGTGCACACTGAGCTGGGCAGGTCCCAGGTTGAGGTTGAGCGGTGCACACTCAGCTGGGAAGGTCCTCAGGTTGAGGTCCAGCGGTGCACACTGAGCTGGGAAGGTCCCAGGTTGAGGTCCAGCGGTGCACACTGAGCTGGGAAGGTCCCAGGTTGAGGTCCAGCGGTGCACACTGAGCTGGGAAGCTCCCAGGTTGAGGTCCAGCGGTGCGCACTGAGCTGTGAAGTTGGCGAAGAGCTTGGCGAAGAGTTGGCAAGGCGGAAGTTGAGGTGGAAGTTGATGCAGACATGGTCGAGGAGAAACTGGAGGAGAGGCGAGGAGGAGGAAGAGGATGGCGAGGGGAGGAAAAATGCCTTTATTTAGATTGCGAGTCTAGGCACGAATTTCGATTGTGAGTCTTGAATTGAAGTGTTGATTCCATTTGGTTCAACTGCCAGTTCACAAGCCTTTCTCTTTCAAACGTTTACAATAAAAAACCCAGATCTTGCATTGCTATGAACCGATCCTCATTGCCACCAACTAATTATATATGCCACGTAATTATATATAGCCACGGAGCGCAGCAGAAACTACGAGCTTCAAATTGGGAACCACCCATACCATACACTGACACAGACCATTTGGAGGCCTTCCAAGCAAAGCACAATGCAAAGCCACCTCCCCGCCGGTATTATGTTCATAAAATGTGTTTTCTTTCGGGCCACTATACACTGCTTGTTTCGCGGATTTTATTTGAGGAGGAAATTTGGGAATCTCTTGTCAAGTGTATGCACAAGAGGGCCTGGTTTGTGGGACAGGGAATTGATTGGACTTGCAGCACACTAGCACGACACTAGCAAGACACTAGCAGGCAACACCAGAATGGTTTCACCTCATGGTTTTCTGGTGATCTCCATTGCACGGCCAGATGATCAGATATTGGGGCGGAATTGGCTCTTCGATGTCGACTTGCTTCATGGCAGTTACAGGCACGGAGTGGCAACCATTGGACACTTGCAAGCCAGCATCACACGGTTTTTTTTCGTGCTGGTTGGTTGATCCTATGCACACTTTTGTTTTGGTCACCAGGTGGAATCTCGTGGGAAGTTGCATCAGATCCGCTCTTGGAGCGGCATGGCAGCACTGACCTCTTGGGCAACTAAACAGCCAAGCCAAATCGGAACTTGCGCAAAAAAAATCGTATAGATAATGATTTTGTTGTTTCCACATGCAAATCATCATTTTATTTACAGCTTTCAAATCCTGGATTTTAGTTGGAAACCCACAAGACAAACATGTTTGAGAGAAACATGCAGCGTTCATGTCAAGGCCTCTAGGCATGCAGAGAATGGTTTATCAAAAGTTTCGGCGCTTCAGACCTTTCAACAATTTCATTGCGTCGTAAATTTGCCTTAATTAGTAAGGGACTCACGTCAAAATTTGTTTTCTCTGACATTTGGTTTGAAACAATTTTCATTTGACCATGCAGGTGCATATCAAATTAATTAAAGATTTAAAGATGTTTAAAGTATAAATTAATACCATTAGTTTCCCCATTTTCCCCTTAACCCCTGTTTGCGAGCCACCAAATGCTCTTGTTTGCTTAGGGTCTCGCAGATATGGTGGTGGCTCTTTGTTACCTACGTGGGTTTCACTGTTTTTGCAGACTCTTGCCGCGTGTTTTTATTGTGTGGATTTGCTTTTTGCGTGAGTATGGATAATCATGGATCGTAGTTCGATGTTACTGCTGCTGAACATTCATCTTTCGCCAATTTAGGTATTAAACGTCATGACAGGTTGGTGGGGTGTGCAGATTTCGCGTGGATATGCCTGCTGCATCTTCTTTCCCGGGTAGCAGTGCTGTGGAACTGCCGAGTTGCAAACCGTTTTGCTTTTGAACATCCTGGACAGGCGTTTTTTGCCAGAGTGCGATACAGTCTGCGCAGCATGATCACGAACTTTTCTTGCAGAACATGCTGGCGGAAAGAGACGTACCTTTTCTGAATAGTTGCGGGAGCTTTTGAGGCTGAGGTGAATCTATTTTTGTTGGAAAAACATCACCCATGGCAAATCCAAGGATCACTTGAAGCGGATCAAGAACCTCTTTGCCAGGCTGGGAACAAGATGACCAATGTTCCGACAAATTCTATGCAGCATTCTGCAACCCATTTTGATAGCATTCTTGTAGCAAAATTATGACGTTTCATTCCTGTACTTCTTTGATCTTCTTTGATTTTCTTTGTGTTTGTGCCACATTGTGCCACCATACTGACCATATTGGACAGGTTGGACAAAGATGGGCCGAATCCTCAGATTGACTGGGTTCAGACCGCCAGTCACAAGATCACCTGGTTCTCCGATATGTAAGTCTGGCATAGTCTGGCATTAAGTGTCCAATAGTCCAAATCCCATGGAGAAATGAAGGAAATCAATCACCACTTTGCCTTCGCAGCTCTTATTGCTGGTCTATTTATATAGATCACCTCCATTCTGATTGCAAGACATGCAAAGGTATGTTGCAACTTGTCCACAACTTGTGAGGTCTGGAAGCTTGACACTATCAGAATTGGAGGCGCAGGGCATGGCAACGGCACAATTCACAGCCTCATACAGCCTTCAAAGAGAAGTCTTGACTCTTTTGGCGGGTTCCGGTCCCAGCATCGCCAGCTGCATAAGCAACACTCCAACATACTCCAACACTTCGTGGCCCCAACTTCATCAGGGTCTCTGTGTGGGATGGGCAAGGTTGGCATAATTGCATCACTAGATGAATTGTGCGACAGATTCAAGCCAATGATCTGCTGAAAAAGCTTGACCAGGATCACTTGGAGGACCCAGCAGTGCAAGCATACTTTGCTCCTTGGCGTGCTTCATTTGATTGGGGGATTGCACAAGCTGCCTGTCACATTTGGGCATCCTGGGCGTCCTTTGCCATCATTTGACTGGTCTGAGGCTTCCTTGGAGCTCTCTATCACTGATGTGTGGTCCTTCTTCAAACTTCTTGAGTCAGATGAAGAGCAAGAGATCTCGCCAGACTCTCGCTTGAATCTAGAGAATTTGTGCCAGTGACATGTGCTCCTAGGGTTTGTCGCAGTATTTGCCGCGCCCCTTTCAAGGGATAGGGGCCAAGAAATATTTATTCTGCATGGATCAAAAAAATATTCTGGTCAAAAATAATCCGGATAATATAGATAGATAGATAGATATATATATATATGAAAAGAATAGGAAGGAAGGAAGGAAGGCAGGCAGGCAGGCAGGAAGGAAGGAAGGAATATTGTATAACCATATTCATTTATTTACAGAATAATATTTTACATCTAATTAAGCATATTTATGTTTACACATGCAAATATTTATAGGTACTGTATTTGCACATATTGCATTCGTAAATAAACCCTACAACCAACCTTAAACAAATTAACTGGATCCTGAACCAACCTTGAACAAAAAGCTTGAGCCAATTTTAGAAACACCCTGAACCAAACCTAAAGAAACCCTAAACCAAGCCTAAAGAACCCTAAAGCCAACCCTAGAGAAACTTTAAACAAACCCTAAACAAATCCTAAACCGACACCGTCATAACATTCAATGAAACTATTTGCGCCATCTTTCACCCAACGCCGTGGTGCCCCAACCCCCAGCCCACATTCTACATGTTCACAAGGGTAATGTTCGGCATTATAAACATATTGAGTGCCATATTTAAACTACAGCATTGCCCGTGAAAACAGGTATTGTCATACTGCTTTGGGGGGAGGCGCTGCGCCCTCCCTCGAATCCACCCTCCCGCTTTTTTATTCAAGTCCAACTTTGCGCACTTGTAATACACTTCTCTGCATGTATATATATATACACGTTTTCCATGTCTTTAGTTTTCTCTCTCTGTCTCTTTATACATATATACACAAGTAGCTATATAACATATAATAATAATAAGAAGAAGAAGAATATATATATATATATATTGATTTTTTGCTATATTTTATATAGATATATATGATCTGTTTTGATATATCATATTTTTCTTTTTGTAACAATATTATAATATAACATTTTTTAAGTATATAAGACTTGAAAGTTTAGTAGTAAATCAGACCTTACTTTCATACTGTAAAGCATCCCTCTCTTCCAGGGTCAAACTCATGAGACATGCCAATACTTTTGCCTCTAAGATGCGCTATAAAAAAGGGCACCCACGTGTCACTCTCACTTGTTGTGTTTTGGGGGTGGTTCCAATGTTTTCAATTCAATTGGTTATCAGCCGTAGTTTGCTTTTGTTTGACCCCTAAAATTTCATATTTGAAGGTCAGAAGACGCCTATAAGTCCTCGCGTCCATGTGCGGGTGCATTGCCTCCAAGGCACGTTGATGCGATTACAAAGTTGCGCAACTTGATTGAGAGTCTTGGTGCCTACGTCAAAATTGTGATTGTGAGCCACATTCACGACAGCGTTGTCAACGAGCAGAATCTTGTGACGGCAGTGCGGTATTCTCGATTGTCAGTGGATTGTGTTTTTATCACAACAGAGAGGACTGGTGAGTTGGGAAAGCTCCGTACTCTTAAGTCGGTCATTGACGGCCAGATCATCATCTCACACTATTACCCAGGGATTTTGGTAGAGTTCCAGGAGAGCTATCAAATTGCTCTTCAAGTGCATAAGCCTGGACAACGTCAGGTGTTGGGCTGGGAATTTAGCACGTGGTCTGTGTGCGAAGAATGGGTGATTGAACGCTTTGAGGGATTCATCCGTTTTCACCACTCTCAGCAATAGGTCCATTCAGTGTTTTTTACCTCGCATTTGCATTTCAATTCGTCTTGGCCTTTGGGCGTTTGGCTGCTGCGGCGCCATCCCAACGATTTGCATCTTTTGGGACTGACACCCGTTGAAGTTTCATTTGATTTCTATTCCGGTCTTTTGTCGCTGGGTTTTACTTTGCCCAGAGCCGCGTTTCATCACAATCAGTTAGTTTGCACCGCAGTGTGACATGTTTCAAGTTTCACTGCAACAATTTCATCAAGAAAGGTGATCTCCAAAGTTGTGAGTTTTCACCGCATCTGATCTTTTCAAATGCAAGACTATGTCAGTGTTTCACAGCTGAGTCAGTTTCACGGCTAACTTAGTTTCACTGCCGTCGTTTGCATTTGGAATTCAAGCATCCGAATTTGATTTGTGTTTGAATCTTTCGCCCCTGCGAATTGGCTGCGTCAGCGTCGTAGCAGGTTGTACCGAGACTCTTTGAGACTTGTGGTTTTAGGTTCAGATGCCAAGCTCAGATCCCATATCGAACCTCGACAGTTTGAACGTTAGTAGTGAATCAACGGACGTTCCAGCTGCTGTTGGAGAAGCATCATCTCAAAGGTCCAACCGAAGTGCGTCGTCAATACCTCGGCGTGCCCGTTCCAAAAGTTTGCAAGGGCAAGGACAAGGAAGACGCAACATGTCACAGGTTATCAAAAGTTTGCCAAAGGTTCATGACTCTGGTAGGCATTCGGCAGTTGTTTCAACTGGTCATGGAGTTGGTAGTTCAGAATCCCAACCATCGCAATTGCCTTCGGATTTTCCTTTCAGTGTGCCCCAGACTTCTGTTCACAACACCTTTGAATATCATGATCAACGATCCCAACAGGTGAATGTTGGAGTAGATCCTATGGTTTTCTCAAATATGGTGTCTGAAGCTCGATGGGTCATTCAAGAATCTGAAGAGAAAGCCCGAGGTTTAGAGCAACTAGTCACTAGTCCAAGAGGTTTACCAGCAAGCATGTAGCCGCATTCAAGAGCTTGCATGTGAATCTTGCCGAAAGTTTGTACCATTCCAATTGTTCCAAGACTTCTGAGATTGAAAAGCTTCAGAGGGATGTCCAGTCAACCAGAGATCAACTTCAGATTCAAACCAATCGCAATCAAGCCATGGGATTTTCAGATTACCCAGTTTGAGTCCCAGATGTCCAATATCCTGAATTTGTTTGGTCACATAAGGATGCTGAGATTACACGCCTGATGTCCGAAGTTTCCCGTCTCCGATCGAGTGAAGCCCGACTTGAGGAGAGACTGGCGGCTCTGAGCGCCGCTCCCTTTGCCGTGGCAAGGAGCGTTGAGGCACAGATGAGGGCCCAGGTTGATGTCGTGCCGGGGAATTTTGTTGTGGCAGTTGACGGTCGTGTTGTTGAAGGTCCGAATGATCCACATGCCAATGGTTCCAAATCATCAATGGAACAATGATTGGGTTCAATGATGGCAGCCATTCAGTGTTTGTCAGACAGAATGGTTCACTATGAGCAAAACGGTACGGATCCTAATCAAACGAACCCAGACGGCAATGATCGTGCTCGGCAGCCGCCAGGTCTTTGTATTCCAGCTGGCCCTCCTGAACCACCTCCAGAGGACGGTGACTGGTCAGAGGATGAGGGGATATGAGGGGGGTGATGAGGAGGAACTTGTCGTCGAGGAAAAGACTGAAAGGCATCTTTTTGACAGTCGTGCCCTTCAAAGTGCAAAGCTAGAGCCATTGCCCAACAATGCAGTTGATTTTAGAGTTTGGAAGAATTCTCTGATTTCGATGCTAGGCCGTCTTGACATCAGTGTCTCACTTCTTGGATTCCCGTTGCCTTTAAAGGTAGGCTCAACTCAGGAATGTTCTGACTCTTCAGGTCTTGTCCCAAGGCTGGACCGATGGTTTGCCTCAAAGCTCACCAAAGGCCTGCAAGGTGTTCTGGAGTTGCAATTCAAGGTCCAGGTCTACATTGAGAGTTGTACCCGTCAAAGTCTTGCTCCACGAGGCCGGGCAGTGATTCAAATGATCTCTAGGCACTTTGACCTCGAGAGGGGCGCTGATTACTTTTCAATCGGTGTTTTGGGTGGAACTCAATGGATAACCAGTGGCTGATTTACAAGAGTTTTCTTCCAGCCTTATGAAGGTCCTGGACCAAATTCCGAGCAGGCAGTGGCCAAATCAAAGAATGCTTGGTGGGTTTCTTTTCCATAAGCTTCGGATCGCGCGTCGTTTGGAAAGGGTGATTGATGAAATCAAACGATCCCCAGACGATTCAGCCATGCGTGAGTTTAGTAATTTTTGGGGACAGTTGCAGGAGTTTTTTGGTCGAGGAACGTGAACAAGCCACTTAAGGCACAGTTATGCGGATGCAACTAAGTTCCATCCGCATTTTCATTCCTTGGATTTTGCTTTGCCATCTTCCATTGGATTTCAACATCAACTGCCAAAGTTTAATTCAACATGTTGCAGCCGCTAAGCGCACATCCGTGTGGATGTAACTAAGTTCCATCTGCACTTTCATCTTTTGGATCTCGTTGTCTTTTGTTTCATCTACCGATTGGAAGCTCGGCTGCTCAAAGCGCCACTCTATTTGCATCCATTCCTTACCACGGAGTTTGGCTGCACTTGCGCCTCTCCTTTGGATTTCAAGCATCGGTAACTAATTGCATCGCACGCATGTGCATAGAATAACCAGGCACAGAGGGTTCACCATGAATTCCCTCATCCCTAGGCTGCAACCCGTCTGAGCTTTGAGGCGTTCGTAGGAAGCATTTGTCCGTAGGCCTGATCAACCTACTTCGTTCGTTACAATAGCTTCTGATTTGGCCCCGTACAGTTCGGAATGAGAGGGGACTTGAAAGTTTAGGAGTAAATCACACCTTATTTTCATACTGTAAAGCATCCCTCTCTTCCAGAATCAAACTCATGAGACATGCCAATACTTTTGGCTCAAGATGCGCTGTAAAAAGGCGCACCCACGTGTCACTCTCACTTGTTGTATTTTTGGGGGTGGTTCCTGTTTTTCAATTCAATTTTAATATATCATGTGTACATCATTGTTCTTTGTTCTTGCTCTCTTGGGAATATTTTTGACCCCAGAGCATTTATTTGATCCCTTGCCTTGTATATGATCGTATAGTATCATACAAATATTTCCCCACCTGCCAGGTGAGGGTTGTTAGATTTTATCAGTTCTCCTCCTCCTCCGCCTCCGCATCCTCCTCCTCCTCCTCGTCCTCCTCCTCCTCCTCGCAGTCCAGATCCCAGTGCACACAGCGAGCGCCAGATCCCAGTGGGCACTGCCGGACCTCCACCGCGAGCTCCAGATCCAGTGGGCACTGCCGGACCTCAACCGCGACTTCCAGGTTGCAGTGGGCACTGCCGGACCTCAACCGCGACTTCCAGATCGCAGTGGGGACTGCTGGATTTCAAACGTGATTTCCAGATCGGAGTGGGCACTGCCAAACCTCAACCGCGAGCTCCAGATCCCAGTGGGCACTGCCGGACCTCAACGGCCAGATAGAATGCCAGAAGATATGCCAGATAGAATGCCAGAAGATATGCCAGATAGAATGCCAGAAGATATGCCAGATAGAATGCCAGAAGATATGCCAGAAGCCAGAAGATATGCCAGAGAATAGATAGATGCCAGAAGATATGAGAGAAGATATGAATGCCAAGATATGCCAGAACATATGCCAGAAGATATGCCCAGATAGATATGCCAGAAGATATGCCCAGAAGATATGCCAGAAGATATGTCAGATATATGCCAGAAGATATGTCAGATAGAATGCCAGAAGATATGTCAGAATATATGCCAGAAGATATGCCAGATAGAATGCCAGAAGATATGTCAGATAGAGTGCCAGAAGATATGCCAGATAGAATGCCAGAAGATTTGCCAGATAGAATGCCAGAAGATAAGCCAGAAGATATGCCAGAAGATATGCCAGATAGAATGCCAGATAGAATGCCAGAAGATATGTCAGATAGAATGCCAGAAGATTTGCCAGTAAGAAAATGTATAAATGCCATGGTGGGGATCATTCGAAGTGAAGTAATTATATATATACATATTTTTTGTTATATATTTATATATATGTAACCATATAAATGGAAATTGTTCAAAACACGAGGTAAGCGATGGGACCTTCCCAAATTAGCGATACCCCTTTTCAAGGTTATGTCATCGTATTTCTCTAATATCCACATTAGCGATACCCAAATATCACATATTATTCATAGTTCATCATATATATATATATAAATACAGCAGTTTCCTGCAAGCGATACCCCCCAAGTTTACCATATATCATTATTGTACAAACGTGTGGTAAGCGATGTGACTTTCCCAAATTTGTGAATGTCCTTTCCGTGAACCTAGGGTTTTCACAATCGCTCATATATATATATATATATATATGTACCAATATGGATATGCATATTCATTATTATTTTCATGCACGCACCGGTCCCTAAAACTAACCTAATGCAACCCTAAAGCAACCGTAGACAAACTTTAAACAGACCCTATACCGACCCCCCCAAAAAATTAAACCAACCCCAAATAGACCCTAAAACAACCATCAATGAATCTTAAACCACTCCGAAACGGATTCATATTTTGATATTCTGGATAGCTGCTCCAAGTGGCAATCTCGACCCAACATCAAAGTCTATTTCTGTCCGGAATATTTTTTTGCTATATACCTTCGACGATTCGGGTGGCGAGTTAGAGCATTTCGATCCCCCCATTGCCTGATCAAAAAACATGTTCTGGATCATACAAAAATCCAACGCACCATTGAAATATATTTCTGTAGGCACTGTATTTATTGATACCAGTATTTTAATTTATTTTTGATCCGGAATAATTTATTTTGATCCCTCACTCCTCTCTTTCAATAGCAGAGCGTTTCCCTTATCAATGGCATGCAAGTCTTGGCAAGTGCTACTGTATGTATGGAACACTGGGATACTTTGTCACTTCCAGATGTATAGGCCGAATAAAAGTCAAACCCCCATAGATCTAGGATTCAATCAAATGTATCAAAATAGGTCAAAATGAAAATTAATTCAGAATGCAGGTGCCTTAGGCGCCCAAGTGAGGACGCATTCTTCGAAGGATGCCAGCGACTGAAGGGATTTGCTCGTTCCCTCGACTTGGCAAAGTTGATGCACCAGACACAATTGCAGCCTGCTTGCAGACAAACATGACCTGCTATATCGTCTTATGACCTGTTGGCATCAAGATAGCCTTAATTCACCTTGCCAACACCTTTGATGTTTTTAGAGGCATCAAAATGTCAGATTGACACAGTTTGGTTGGCGACTTTCGTTGGAGGCCCCTGCTTCGTAGGTTCCCTTTGCAAAAAGGTCCTAGTTGGGAGTGGACACTGTGTCCCGAGGATGGCTAAGAAGCAGGTGGATTTCATGAACCAAACAAGCGAATCCTTGGAGAAGATTACGTCGCCACTTGGAGTGCAAGGAAAATATAGGAAGATCCTGAAAGCTAATCCTTGTCATGTTTCATCATGTTTCATCATGTTTCAGTTTCCTCATGCTTCATCCTTGTCATGGCAGTTGCGAATCGCGGCAAGTCTTTGTATGTTTCTGCCCCGTCAGAGGTCTTGGCTCAGCATTTATTTTCCAATGCACATGATCTATTTAGTGGTTTTGTTCAGTGGAATGCAGCCGTGGAGGAGTGCGGTCCTCGAATGGGACCAGAATGGGACCAAGATCCCTACAGATGCAAGCAAACTAGACTTAGCTGTGCAAAAGAAGCAGGCTGAAGATAACAAAGCCGCTTTGATGATAACATACATTGTAATTAACATGTGTACGCGTGAGTATGTTTGTACTTATACATAATATATATATATGTGTGTGTGTGTGATGCAGGGTATATTTAGGGTCGCTTCTCTCACCGTAGAACCTTTGAGTGCCATGCATTGCTCGATGTGAAAAGTTCATAGGCCTGGGATATTTTGGTGATGGCACCATCCATTGCGCGGCAAGCCTGGCTATTTTGCTGTAACACTGTATGTTCAGAGCGAGTGCTCTCACCAATCCTTGTTTTGTTGGTGCATGGACTACTGGTGGCAGATGTCACTTACCACAGGCAAGAGTTGTGGCAAGAAATCAGTCTTTGGTACTGCAGTGTGCGCCTACTAGTGGTGGCCACCATCGCTTTATATATCGGAACGTCATGCACAAATCCAGGATTTGTGGAGAGCTCGGAGAGTCAATCTGGAACGAGTTCTTGCACCTGCTGCTTTCTGTTGTGCTGCGGCTTGTGTATGCGCAAAGGTGGCTCCATGGGAAAGGTCTCACACCTTTCCACGGACTCCACTGGCGGGGAACCTTCCACAAACTTGGCTCCAGATGAGCCACTGGATTCACTGGATCCTGAAAGCGGTGTCCAGATGACTGTGATTGATGAAGGCATCCAGAAACGCCGTGGGACTATGGAGATCGACGCCGACGAGGAAGGCCGGGTTCACACACCTCCATAGCAGCGGCGGCAAGGCTGTTTTTGATGGTTTTTGAATGTTTTTGGCTGCCTGCTCCTCTTTGGATAGTCTCAGCGTGGATAGTAGGCCCAACCGCACCTTATGAATCCTTTTGAGTTGCATACTATAGGAATCTATAGGATGTGATGGGACGCAACATGGCGTACGGTATGCCCCTGTTCCACTTCATGGATCATGATCCGAAGGCTGTAATTCCGCTGCCGTTCAGGCGTAGAGCTTCGATGGTGCAAGCGCTGTCAACTACAGCAGCCCTTACGCTCGAAGCACTGCCACGACTGCGGCAGATGTGTTCGCACTCATGATCATCACTGCCCTTGGGTTGGCAGTTGCGTAGGCATCTGCCGTATAGGGCATGAAGTCACGAAAGCTAGCGTCAGCTAGCTGGAGTCTTCTTGCTTTAGCAAGTATTGGGGGGGCTGTTCAAGGACATCACGTGATTTTTCACGCGAAAGGGCCCCCCCCTCCCCCGCCACCACCACCATCACCACCATCATCATCATCATCATCATCATCGTCATCATCATCGTCATCATCATCATCGTCATCATCATCGTCATCGTCCTCTCCATCGTCCTCGTCCTCGTCCGCGTCCTCGTCATCATCATCATCATCATCATCGTCGTCCTCGTCATCGTCCTCGTCATCGTCATCGTCATCGTCATCATCATCGTCATCATCATCATCATCGTCATCATCATCAGCATACTCGTCATCATCATCATTATCTATCTATCTATCTATCTATCTATCTATCTATCTATCTATCTATCTATCTATCTATCTATCTA